TACTTTCATCAAACAGATGAGGATCATCCATGGCAAAGGATACAATGACACTGACAGGAAAGGCTTCACTCGTGTGGTGTATCAGAACATCATAGCGGGCATCCAGGCGATGATCAACGCCATGGAGACTCTTCACATTGACTACCTCCATGACCAGAACATTGTGAGAAACCAAGCATTTAAACTTTTATGTGGCGTTTGAGAAAGCTTGCCGTACCAGTTACATTGAGAAAAACAAATTAGAAATAATACTAGTATTGTAACATGCAGGCTATATAAATAGACAGTTTTCCACTGCAGGAACTTGTGAGTTGCTTTTGGGGCCTGCGCCTTTGTGTGTGCATTCTGACCACAGGGTGAACCTCCTGTAAGGCCTCACTCATGGTTGTAAGCGGCCACTCTAGGATAGGTTCTTCAAACTGGTTGAAAAAAATTTCTGATAGTGTTAGTTTTTGAAAAACTAACAATCTAAATGTCACTATCAGTGATTTAAAATCCACACAGCACATTTACATTTCTGTAAATGTGCCCGATTTGCCACAGTGGACAGGCAACAAATTCTGACCAGCTGAGCTATTTTCGATATTAAATTCTGTTTGTTCAGTGGCAAATCACAACACGTGGGAGTTTTTTGGGGAGGGCGAGGTGGGGGTCTTCTGTTAAACCTCAAGAATCAGACTCAGGGTGGGCGGCCATCTGCCGAGAAACAGTTGGTGTGTGAAAAAAAACAAAACAAGATATGAGCAATGAAGAACAAAAACACTCAGTGACTGTGTGGCTCATAATAGAAACATCTGGAGGACAAAATACCAGTAAATACATGGATCCAAAAAGGGGGGGAAAGGTGAGAATAAGACAGGAGGGGTGCTCATTATATCATATACATTTGCAACCTGGAGCTATAATGGCATAACTAAGGGATATTAAGATGGTGCAAACTTTTATCCTGCAAAATAATTGGACAAATGTTAAGGGATCACAGAAGTTATTACAGTTTAAACTTTGGGGGACATGAAAGTGTGCACCAAATTTAATTTAACAAAAGCTAATTCAAGCTTGTTACTTTTTAGTAATCAAAAACTTCTACAGACAATTAATCTTTCTACATCATGTCATTGCAGTAGATCTGGTTCTTCTTGAGAACTATAGTAAAAAAAGGAAACATTGCCTAAAAACGATCTCTTGCAATTCACAAAAACCATCTAGTGGGATTTCTTTTACAGCAGTCATTGTATTGAACGTGTACTGAAGAAGTGAAATGACCTGTGTATCTGTCTGTCAGGGGTATGCGGAGAAGCTGAGCCAAGTGGACTTGACCTATGTGTCAACTTTGGAGTCCTGGCAAGTGGACGCCATAAAGAGAGTCTGGAATGATCACGGTGTTCAAAGATGCTATGAGCGCAGAAGGGAATTCCAGATATCAGACTCTGCAAAATAGTAAGACTTTTATATTTCACATCTTTATCTTGCATTAATTTCCTCCGTTTATTGTAATTCTGTAATAGTGTGGATTCATTCTGCTAAAATCAATGCATGTAAAAAGCATAGATTTCTGTTTAATATTTCAGAATATTAACCTTAATGTGTTGTTGTAAACATTTCAGTTACCTCACTGACTTGGACAGAATCACAGCCCCGTCGTACATCCCCACCCTGCAGGACATCTTGAGGGTCAGGGTGCCCACCACAGGCATCATAGAGTATCCCTTTGAATTTTCCAAAAACATCTTCAGGTTTGATATCATACTTTATTAACACATCATCTAGACAGATATACAGCCCTGTGAAAAAGAAAGTTTTGACATGACTCGCAGTCCAGTGTACCCAACCATTCAACAGCTTGTAGAAGTCTTTACACTGTTGCTCCAGTTTATTGAGATTTGTGGAATGCTCCAGACCAGCAAACTGCCAAACTTCTGCTTTTATACTGGCACTCCCTCTTGCTGATGCTCAATAATGAAGTGCGTTTGATTAACAGCACCCATCCGGTACTTACCTTCTTAATGTGTATGGAAACAGTTACGGTGTACTCGCAGTCCACACACACACATTAGTACTGCGGTGACAAAACAGACTAATTACTGAAGTGACTAAAGATAGTTTATTTGAACTAAGTGGGCGGTAATAAGTTTTCCTTCAAGTCGTGTTTAGAATAAGCTGCAGACAACAAAAGAGCTGCATTCACAGCTTCTGCAGGTCCCAGTGCACATGTGAAATTCAATCATCTGTGTCGCTATGTGGAACTGCTGACTGTTGAAACCTGTATTGGCTAAAGACCATTTATATAGAGAGTGAACTTAGCAGTGTCAGTCCCCTTAGAAAACTCTGCGAGAAAGTAGAGAAATATAGTTCCTTCTTCAGTAATTCTTCAGTCATGAACCTTTAGTGCTTTCATTGTCTTTCTGTAGGATGGTTGATGTTGGTGGGCAGCGTTCTGAAAGGAAGAAATGGATCCACTGTTTTGAGAATGTCACCTCTATCATATTCCTTGCAGCCCTCAACGAGTACGATCAGGTCCTCTACGAGAGTGAAAACGATGTACGGTCATTATAGTTATAGTTGAGCCTTTCTTTGATTCTTGTCCAACCTTGCCCAAATACAGTTCATCGTCTAAGCCTGTCGCCCCTCTTTCAGAATCGACTCCAGGAGAGCCTCGCCTTGTTTAAGACCATCACCTCGTGGCAGTGGTTTCAAGAATCCTCCATCATTCTCTTTCTGAACAAAACAGACCTGCTAGAGGAGAAAATCCAGCATTCGCATTTAGCTTCCTACTTTCCAGAATACACAGGTAAAGCATGCCCCTAGTTTGCTCTGCATGTCTTCAGAACAACCATAACTGTGTTCAAAACTATATTTGAGTATAACTGGCATGAAGTGAGTCAGCCTTGAATATAGCAGATAGCTGACCCTCCCTGAGCCTGTTTCTGCCAGAGGTTTCTTCCTGTTAAAAGGGAGTTTTTCCTTCCCACTTTCACCAAGTGCTTACTCATAGGGGGTTTTCTGATTGTTGAGGTTTTCTCTACATTATTGTAGGGTCTTTACCTTACAATATCAAGTGACTGAGGTGAGTTTTATTCTGATGTATTTGTATAAAGTAAAATTGGATTCAATATTTATGTATTTAAACTGTTAGACTACAGAAGCAATGACAAGCTGTGTTAACCATTTTTTAAATTACTGTCTGTACATGAATTAATCAATCCAGCATGCACCCTGTAAAATATTTGATAATTAAAGACATTAAAGATTTGTGAAGATGACAACTGATCGATTTGTGAAAGTCCACAATAGAGCACTACGCATATTGTGACTGATGTTAATGATAAGCACAATTATTAAGAATGAGTTAGTTCTTAAGTCTCAACTAAGACACACAGGAGAGTATAAAACTGTATTAAACAGTAACTGTGAAAGAGTGAGCAAGGAGGCTTTTCTAATTTTGACCACTTTCTCCCACACAGGGCCTCGACAAGATGCTGAAAGAGCTAAAAAGTTCATCTTAAATATGTATGTGGAGCGGCATGTTGGTCGTCATAAAGCCCTTTACACGCACTACACCTGCGCTACAGACACGGAGAACATCAGGATTGTGTTCAAATCAGTCAAAGACACACTCCTCCAAGAAAACCTGGAACAGTTCAACCTCGAATGACAGAGGCTAATGGACCAAGTGATGGTTTCACTGTGGAGAGCAAGAACACTGGTCGTAATCATGTTGTAACATTTTTAAAAAGACAAAAAAAAAAAAAATCTTTAATGTGCTGTCAGCTGCTTGTTCAAAAACATCAAAGAGAGGCATTTAGGCAGCAGTGTCAGGTAAGGTGCATTTATTTCATGACTGTAACAGGGAGCAATTGTCTTTCTTTGCGACACCACTTTATCATAACTGGTAAAGTAAGCCCATTTTTTTCTTCTGCTATAGGAGAAAAATGTTATCTTGAATTGTTACACAGGGTTCCTTTCATTCTGTTACTGTTTGATGGAGAATAAGCACACGGCATCAGATTCTTTTTACAAAGTCTGGCAGGAATGTGGCCCATCCTGCCTTACAGCTCCTCATCCTGTAAGGCAGGATGGGCCACATTGTAGCTCCTCACTGTGGGGGGAAACTACAATGGCTTTCATTTGTTTTTTCATTATTGTATTTGGATACTTTTAACAAACGTTTTGCCTCTAAAATGATTAAAACCACAATCATGTAATATGTATTTCTATAAACTGATTCATGCTGCTTCCCCATTGTTGTCACTTTATAGAGAACTTTATTTTGACAAAAGTAATTAAAAATATATATAAAGAACAAAGTGTATGTTCAGAAATCTATGACTGTTCTCACGCTATAGGACAGCAGCTGCTGACAGTGTTTAACTAAAGGCAGTTTTCCCAGACACCTTCACGTCAGGCGTGGTTACACTGAGTGTGATTATAACCTTTGTACCATACAATGGTCAACAATGAGGTCTGACAGGCTGATCTCCGTCTTCCTGTCCTAATTACTTGGGATTAAACTTTGGTAAGTGAAACAGGCTTTCAACGAGGTTTAGAGAAATGCGTGTTTGGGCATGGATATCTAGGAACTAGCTGATTTCACCTGTGTTGTGTTTTAAGGGTTGAACAGTTCAGAGCTAACGTAGAAGGAAACATTAGAAGTAGCCTAAGAATCAGTGGATTGTCAAGCATCAGCTGTTTGCTTCTGATTGGACAATATTTTCAAGCATGTGGTGAATCCTATGAATATTATCTGCACACGGAGCTGGCAATGACAGCTCCTTTTGTCACTCTGAGGGCAAACAGCTCTCTGGGGCTCACAAATCAACAGTCAGACATTAAAAGCAGTCCCGCACTTGTCGTGAATAGTAGTAGTTCAGAAACCTCAGCATGCACCCACTTCATAATGACAGGCAAATACACTCCTCCTATATGTATGTATAAGCTGGTGTGCAAAGAGCTGTTGCAGCAGGTGATCGCCCTTATTTGGTAGTGGCCCAGATCATGTGACCACAAAATGGTGGAAGCTGTGAGCTGTTTGTAAGCTGAGCATCTCCATCGAGAGGCTGGAAACAGGAAGCAGGCAGGGAACTTGGAAGTACATTCATGCTCTGAGACGCAGGAGGACAGAGATTCCCAAGCCCCAGAAGCGGTGAGTAGATGGCTTTTATTTGGGGGAGGGGGGTGATAAAAAGAAGAGAAAGAAGGGATATGCTCTATTTTTTTTTCCACAGCCAGCAGACAGGAAGCGAGGGAGAGGGAGGGGCTGCTGGCATCAGCACTGTGGTCCTACGCTGTGCTGGGGAAGTAGATCTTAAGCAAATCAGCATCCTCAGCGGAAGATATATGATGCTGGGTTTTGTTATTCTGCATTATAGGGCTGTGTATCAATGTGTATTTATTTCCTTGTGGGCACAGATACAGTAGACAAACAGTGAATCGTGGCACTCATCTCCACTGGACAGGAACAAACCATTCAGCATTTTTCTGTTGCAGCTGCTAATGCAATCGTATTTTTCTTAATCCAGATGAAATCCTGCCGATGAGGAACAAGGACTTTCCCTTTTCATGCGAAAGAGCGCACGTGACTCTCGGTGAATTTGCATCCGTGCCCAATCTGTGCTCAGGCAAGCGTGCCGTCATTTGATTTGAATGAGCACTAGGAGGGGAAAAAAAGGAGAGGAATGAAGTTGTGATGTAACGAGCGTCGCCGTTTCCCCGACTCCACCTTCCACTTGTCACCCTGCCTCCTCCACTTTAATCACAGAGGGAGAAGACCTTTAACCTCAGAATCCCCCCCACCCCATCCCTTGCTCTCCCTCTCCCGTCTCACCACTCCTCTTAAACCCCCCTCTCCATTCCCTGATAGCTTTGGAGAACTATTGATCAGAAAAGTGTAATCAATACACTTTTTTAGATATGAAGGTGTTAGTACACTTATGGATGCGCTTGGATTGTTTTTTTTTTCTTACGCTCGCACTGATATTGATAAAGCCAAACTGTAATTTTTCACTCTATAAAACAGCGTTGATATAGATCCCAGAGATAAGATTTTTTTTGTTGTGTCCTCTGGCTGACAAACATAGATAAAGACACAATATTGATCAAAAATGTTGTTGGTTAAATTATAGCACTAAAATCAAATCATATTTTCTGCTCTGCAGCACTATATTGAAAAGTGCTTGGGGATTTCTGAGACGTAACAGGAATGCTTCCATTAAAATGGATCATATTTTAGTTTTTCTCAATCCACTTCAGATTCATATGTAAAAACATATATATTAATATTTACTTAAGTGAGTAATACTGGACCATATGTTTAAATCCTATTATAATGAAAACATTTTATTAAGATGCCTCTTGAGGAGACGTGGGGGAGTATTATCAGCAAAAACTAACTTTGCTGGCTCAGAATGAGCTTTTCTGGGGTTCAGTCCAAGTACAATAAAGGCACTGAGTCTGCATTATAATATTTGGCAGAAATCAGTGTGTTTTCCTGTTATTTCTGACTATCCCACCTCCTCAGCACCCCAAAATTTTATTCTTTAGTAAATTTACCCCAATTAACTTGAAAAAAATGCTTAATTTGGATCTGAATAAAAACCTCATGAGAGGCTGCCAGAAATCGTCTTTTCAGGAAAAACGCTTGCAAAATAGTTTGATCTGATTAAACGTCAAAAGTACACTGTTGCAATTTATACTGAATTATAGAAGAATTATAATATTATAATTTTATTATTGATGTGTTAAAGTGTGCAGCATCCTTGGCTGAATGCTGGACTCTTGATGCTTCAAAGAAACTTTATTAAAGATGTAGTTCACTCAGATTTTCAGGGAAGACATCGTAAGAGCTAGGAAGAAAAAACAAAATATTGACACTGTAAAACTTGATAAACTGCACAACATGGCATTTGAGCTTTATCTCACATATCTGATGGATGTCTCATTTTGCATCTAAACTTCTATAACACATCAAAACGAGGCTACAAATCCTTTCACTGATTCACTATATTAGATTGATAGCTTATAGCTACATTTATCAAACGACATTATGGTTAGACATAACTTATTACATGAAAAGAAATATGGTCAAACCTTGTGTCACTGTCAGCCAGGTACTTATTAACACAGGTAACGCTCATTTTCTCTGTGCTTAAACCACACTTCAACTCTGTCGCCAATCACGCTTTCTTACTGAACCTCTTTCCTGTTTTATCGTTCTTTCAAAATAAAAGCGTAGGCTTCAAAACAAAACTACCAGGTTAGCCAACAGATTGAACTTAAAAAATATTTATGAAACAAATATATGTAAAAATACTGCTCAAATATGTCCGATCATCTAAAGGTAATTTGCGATGTGTTACTGTTGGTACTACCTGTTGATCCAATGTGAACAATTTAATCCGTTTAAAATAATCCATTGCATTTTATCATATCCACTCTCTGGTAACATTAGTGGTTAAACATTGCTAGGTTGGATGTTTTTGCCTTCAGAACTGCCGAAATCCTCCACAAAGTGATTTTACTACATGTTGAAACATGTTGAAATGCCAGCATCACAAAGTTGTTGAAGATTTGTTAGCTGCACATCCATGCTGTGAATCCCCTGTTCCACCAAATCCCAAAGGTGCTCTATTGGATAGAGATCTGCTGACTGTGGAGGCCATTTGAGTACAGTGAATTCACTGTTATGTTCAGGAAATGAGTTTGAGATTATTATAATTTTGTGAGATGGTATGTCGTCCTGCTGGTACCCGTCATTAGAAGACGAGCACACCATGTCACTTAAATCATTTTTCTTTCCTAATCTGATGCTTGGTTAGGGGGTTACTGAGTGTATTTTGCATATGTTATGCAACCAAAGCTGTCGATGTGGTGTAAAATTAAGTTAAATTTTTTTTTACAAATTTCACCCTGAACTTTAGTGAATTAGACGTATAACAGAGCATGAAATGAAAAAACTCAACTTTCCACTCACTAGTAGCTTTTAAATTTGCCATTTATCTCAACATTACCAAGACTCTAACAACCAGTCTATCTAACTCAGTCATTACATAAAGAGGTATCACAGGCGGCAGATAGCACACACAGTAGTCTGGGTGCTCTCCAGGTGTGTTTTTCTATCATAAGAGTTCATTTAATAACTGTAATTATCTTCTCGCAGGTCCTCCTGGGGATGGACCTGGCATCAGGGAGTAAAATGAACTCTGAGGGGGATGATGGCAGACCAGGTGAGCGCGAATCAACAAATACCCTTAATAGCTAAAAGAACACTGTGGCATTGCATAACTGTTTCTGTTTTTCTTTTCATAGTCCCTCCTACCTCTCTACCTCTGCAAGGAGGAGCCTCACAGAGAAAAAAACTATCTGCGCCTCGTATCAGCCTGTCACTGGACCAGAGCGAGGATGACTTCGGAGAGACACCAGATGATCTAGACATTAATGTCGACGACCTCGACACTCCAGATGAGGGGGATTACCTCGACTACACAGACCATGAAATGGACTGGGAAGGTGGGTGACTCTGAATGCTAGAATGCTAACACTGTGAGTTTGATGACCTGAAAGATCGCGATGAAGGTGGGGCACGCAGAATTACAAAGTGATACAAGCATTTTATTCTCCTCCTTCTGCACAACAAGAGCAAGACTTTTATTTTGTAACACTAACAGCTAATGTTAATATGCTTCATTACTTTACCAAGAATTTAATTGATGTGTTAAAGTGGAAAACCACAGTTACTGATCTATTGATCTTTTTAAAATTAGTCTGCAAATTATCCACAATGCATCATTTGGTCTTTTTCTTATCAGATCCCAATACTGCCAACAGGAGTGCTACCAGTGAAGTCTACAATACAATCCCAACATACAGTGCTGAGGAGGAACGCCAAGATGGAAAACTGTGGAGGACTGTCATCATTGGGGAGCAGGAACACCGTATCAACATGAAACTCATTGAGCCCTACATGAAAGTCATCTCTCATGGAGGTGACTCAAGTTTTGTCTCACAGTCTGAGCAGATCTTCCTCCTTAGCTCCGGCTGCTGGGGTCATGTGAGCCCTGCAGACACTGCTCTCAACTCATTTCACTTTTTAAAATCAATTCACAAGTGTAGTTTTTCTTTTGCAAAGTAGTTACCACATTTACAGTAAAGTATAGTAAAGGTGTTAACATTAGGGTCCATCAAATGGTGCACTCTCCCCTAAACCCCAACCACTAGAACTGAATACCAGTCCAAGCCAATTGGGTAAAAGACGTTGCTTTTTATAGCAAAGATTGAAATACAAGCGGAATCTGCATACAAAGCAGGTGCAAAGTGTCCCCAGTCACTTTGTACCTGAAAGATTTGTTGTCACTTGAAGCAGAGAACAGTAGAAGTCAGTGCTCTTGTTGCAGCATTTTAGATCAACTAATTGAACTAGTTTTTCAGTATCACTCTGAGACAGAATTTAAGGAACTTGGAAAGATGTTGCACAAATGCACGACAGTCCTACATATTTATATAATATGCAAATTGAAGGACATTCTAATAAAAAAAAAATGACTCCAGGACTCCTCATTGTGTTAGAAGAAAGAAAAGAAAGAATTAGATTGAGGAACCTTAGTTTCATGAACCCTAGAGGTAACTATGTGAAGACTATGGCTTTTTAAGAAGAATAGCCCTCTTGAGGGCCATTGTAAATAGATGAGATGAACAAAAATAAAAAAAGTGTGACCACAAGCCTCCTGCCACACAGAAAAACAGAAATAAATCAACAAATTTATAATCATCTAACACACAGTATTTTTCAATTGTAAGCATGCTTTGCTATTGGATTACAGAAGAAAGCCAGGTTAAAAAAGTATTTATGTTAGGTTTACTGCATTAAAACCTTGTCATGTTAATGAGCTGCCAGTTCTCATCTAACTAGACCATGGAAGGACGTAGCATTTTGGAAATACCTCATCCCACTTTGGCAGTAGACCAAGTACAAATAAGGAAATGCAGGCTGTAGATGAAGACAACTGATAACCTTTTCAGCACGAATTTTTAAGTCATGTTTCCCTGTGTCACCTGCATGTTACAGTAACGTGATTCATGTGGGCAAAGTGGCCATTTGACTGCTGTGATGCAGATTGACTCACTATGAGCATACAGGCATGATAAATCAAAGTAACAACTGCTCTTTCACCGGGCATAAGAGGTCAGTGAATGGTTCAAAAATAAAAATGATGTGAACTGTCCAGTGCTGTGCAATCGTATACTTGTACACAACCGTGTGTGAGTATAATGCATGAAAACCACAGGGGGACCTGGATCTTAAATTGAGACCAGTCACTAAGTCACACATTATTGGTTTCACAGGCAGGGGCCCCATGTCTATCTCTTCCCCCTCTGTGGTGCCTTTCATAGCCACGAGCTCTGGTTAGTCTGTGGGTGGATTGACCATGAGGGTGGAAATATGCAGGCCATGCATATCCCACTGTGCTCTGCGTTGCAGGTTTAGTGAAACGCAGCTGTCTCATGGAAACAGAGACGTCTGTCACTGAAAATTCAATCTCACCAGCTCTGTCATTTTGATAAAAGACCTGCTGTCTGAGTGACACCAAATCTGGTAATGAATGGCTTTGTGAATAGACGGAAATTACATTAATCAGAAAAGTAGCGAGAGGAAACAGGGCAGAGAGACAGATGGACAAAAGATAAATAGAACAAAAAATAAAAGAGCAATCAAGTTCTCGCCAAAGGAACTCTTACTACTTTTATTTTTGTGTGTGCTTTTTATCAAGGCTACTATGGCAACGGAGTGAACGCCATCATCGTGTTTGCTGCTTGTTTTCTGCCAGACAGCGACCGAGAGGAGTACCATGAAATAATGGAGAACCTCTTCCTGTGAGTATCAAAAAGCGGTGACTAACACGCTCTTTAAACGACTCTTTGTTTTTTCCAGTGTTTTGCTTTGGCCCCGTTAAATTCAGCCACATCATTCGGTGCATATCCTGTTTTTGTAGTAGTGTTATTCATTTGCTTTTTCATTTTTGCAAGCAATGATCGACCATCTGATCATGACTGATCTATATATATATAAACATAAAAATATAAACATATTAGTTTATGGGTAAAACTTTGAAAATTTGGGAATAAACCAGGAATCATCCTAGATGTCACCAAGATGTATAAGGCAGCGCCACAGACTGTATATTAACAATGAGCATAGCCACTATGACATCACTCATTGGTTTGTTATCCATTTAAACATTTAGGTCTTTGCTATCACATTACCATATCTGGGTGTAAGTTTGCTTTCATGCTTGATTAGCAAACTGGATCTATTGATTGTATGTGTGCATCCCAAAGATACTGATTTCTTTTAATTAGTACTAAGTAGCAGTTTACCAATTCCCTGACACTGGAGCTCAGGACTTCTTGTTTACTTTTTACCTACAAAACAAGCCATATTTTTTCAGCTACTTAAAAATTAAAAATTAAAAATGTTTCCAAAGGCACTAATCAATCAAGCCAGGATTGTGTTTATTTGTGGTGCAAGTTAGTTTTACTTTCAGAGAGAGAGGATATTAACTTGCTTTTGGAGTCAGCCAGCTGGCACTGGCAACAACATGAGCGAAAGGCTGCAATTAAAAAAATCTGTTTAATGTATTTTTCACCTTAAGTGGGGTTTTGGATTGATGCTAATATCAACATATTAACATACTTGCAATGATAATTTTAACATCCTGAAGGTCAGGTAACGCTACAGTCACACTCAAAAAGTGGTTTGACACTTAAAATTAAAGCGAATGTTTGCAGTGATCTTATGATGTAATTGCATTTGAACTCTCCAGCCACTTGTAGTCACTTGCCATCTTCAAAGTGATGTATCAAGATGGCAATAAAACACCAAAAAGGAGTCAGTTTGCTATCAAATAAAAAGGGTCAAGTTGGGAATTACATGAACCTTAAAACTTCATTAGAACTGAAGAAGCCTCTTGGATGAGACGTAAAACGTCTTCCTGAGTCCTGCTGAAACCTCATCAATTTGATGCAAAAGTTCATAAATTCCTTCACAAATTGCTGCAGGAAGGTGATTTAACTGCAAAATGATAGGTGCCTGGCAAACCTTCCTTTTATACAAGAATATAATCAGAATAAAACTAGTTGGCAACCAGATAAAAAACTATTTGCAAACCTTGGTCTATCTCCCTGAGAGTGATTGCAGTCATTCCAAGTCAGAGCATTTTTTTGAAGACAGGCTGCCTCCTACCAGGTGACCTGTGCAATTGCACAATTTAATCTCGCCCTGAGATTAAAGGCATTGGTCGTCTCTACTTGCAGAAAAAAATTCAATGTAATCACTGGGCAACCACTGAATTTTCTGAGTTGCTATCCTTTTTTTATTCTAGTGTGAATGAACTGTTGCTCACATTAGATTCATTTTGCGCACAAAGTAAACATATGCGTCGGATGTCAATGCCAAATTATCCAGTATTTCTCAAACAACTATAAAATGTGTAAAAACCACAAGTATGTACCCCGTTGTGGCTATACAAAAAGTCACACAATCATACAGCCTTGTCCATATTAAAGTACTAATATGTACTAATTTGTGCAGTTGGCATTCAGAAACAGGATAAAGAGTCGAAATCACGGATTCTTCCTTACAGTCTAACACTGCGTGTGTAAATACGTTTGGATAGTCTGACTCAGCACTCACTACAGGCATCAGTGGCAACATTTACAGTACACATTTTGTAAACAAGTTCTTGTAGATTTTAGTGTTATGTTACAAGCATAGACCTGCGCCTTTTCTAGTCAGCAGAGGGGGGCACTCTGATTGCAACAAGAAGTCCGATTGAACAGAAAGCTATTAGAACATGAAACTTCTTCTCATGTGATCATTCATTTATGACCTCAGTTTGAATGTAATATGGTTGAATTGCTAGTTTGGAGTCTTCTTTATTATAGAAGGATGTTAACTGTACTATTCATTTTATAGTAAAATGTGCAATAAAGCACTTAGGGACGGTCTACTGTCTTATCGAGAAATCAATAGGAATGTATGAGTGTGCAGAGCCTTCAGCTTCTCTGTCACAAGCCCGTTTCCAAAAAACAGTAGGATAACAACCTATTACTGACCTCGAGGCTTCAAGACGGGGGTCCACAAAAACGGATGATGTATTTAAAGTCTAAAAAATTGCAAAAGACTAAATGCATCACAATGGAACAGGGTCATTAAACTCTTGTATTACTTGGATGATGAACTGAGAGTTAATTTGAAGGATTCTTGTGATTGACGGGCACTTGAACAGCTGTAACATGTAACGTCCAACCCACAGTAGTCAAAGTGTCATGCCAGCCTGTGGGAAATACACAGCTGTGTTTGTGGTCTTCCAGTCAAAATTGGTTCATGGCAATGCAGCATCGAAATGCATATGACAAAAGCAATGTGTGTGTGGATGTAATTATCAAATTAAGGACGTTGTTGCTGTTTCAATCAGCCATGACACTCCTGCACAAACACAACTTTCTAAATGAAGTGATTAAAATTCAGTGTGAGTCTAGCTTGTTTGCTAGGACCTCCCGTGTCGATATATCCACTGTTGTGCTGGCACAGTGGCGCCTCATGCTTGGACAGTGTGCTAGGGATCCCACAGGCTGTTCTGTGGAAGATATTGAGTGAGCTGGCATATCCGAGAGTTCTGGAAAGAACTGAAAGGAGGTAAACCGTACTGTCTGCAGTTTCTGATGCCAGATGGCTTGAGGTCTGAATCTGCGCGAGGAGGAGTAACTGTAGCTGGGTGCTGAACGGTATTCAGTTTGATGTCAGTGGGAGATGATCAGAATATTCAGGAAACAGAGTGGATCAGCAGTGCTGGTCTGTAAGCAAGCTGGGGAATGACATTTGATCAGGAGGAGAGGAGAGCCAGTGAAGTTAGATGAGTTATTGAGGAAACTAGCTGAGGAGATTGTCAAGTTATTTTCAAAGCAGGCGACAAAGTTCCCTGCTGACTGCGAAGACAGAGAGGAGGTGGTGGAGGGACTGCGGAAAAAAACGAGAAAGCGATAACAGTTTCTTATGGTTTGAATTAGAGAATTGGATTTTCGGAAAAGTAGAAGTCTGATCGAGCTTGTGAGATTGATGCAAAGAAGGAAAGAGGAAGCAACATTTTTGCCAATTTCTCATTGCTGACTTCAGAGGGGAGAAATGTTTAAAATGCTGTTAGTTGGTTTTTTCAAATTGAGGGTAAGACTTGTGTCCTATTTCCTCATATTTTTTTGCATTGAGCATTCAAATAAAAGTTGCTCCTGTATTTCACCATTTTAACAAATAATGCCAGAGACTTTCGAACTCCGCTTGCTTTTGATATTTTGAAGTTTTTGATTGAATTACAGTTTAGCCCAGGTGAGTTTCTGCAAGGCATGATGCTGTTTCACATTAATGTAATTACAGTTCTGTTTGTCTAAGTCAGCCATTCCCAAAGTCAAGAGTGCTGAGACCCCCTGAAAAACCAAAAAACCCATGACGTCCACCATAATACAAGAGAAAAAGAAACTTCAGTATAGAGTCAGAGTAATGAGTAATATCACAAGCTAACCTAAAATAAAACCTATAGCTAAATATGCAACTTAACATACTTTTGAGTAATCTCAATTTGAATTTCTGTTATTATTGTGTCTCATCTGCAAGACCTTCGCAGCAGCACACCAGGTGGCCCCAGCTTACACTTTGGGACTCACTGATCTGCATTTATTGAGAGTGTTAAATTTGTTACTGTTAGGGGCACAAACCACGAAGCAACAATGACACCAGTGTCAGTGTGTAAAAATGGTAGTTTCTGCAGTGGCCACTTGAGGCAGGCTGCAAAACCAAATCAGCCCTATAGACCCCACCATGCTAACTTTAGGGATGTAACAAACACGTTTAATGCCAGGTACAAAACACAGTTTTGCTTCTCATAACATTTCAGAACTCAGTTGTTTGGTCTTTGTGTAGACTTAAATTTTGAGGCGTGTATCCCAACATGCACTTTATTTCCAGTAATTGAAATTAACCTCTTGAGAAAGCCTGATGGAGAATATTACTTGGGGTACAGTCCCTCAAAAAACTGTGCTGCTCGTTTAGTCTGTAAAGGCTAGCAACTAATGAAGTTCGTTAGCATTAGCTGAAAGCTTAGCGCTTCTCACTCTCATCCAACTTAAAGCTTAAAAAACCAACATGGCTCAAAACACACTCAGTATACCCATCCTTTTTATACAGTCTACACAGCCTGCATTTAGTATTTAGAGCTAAATGGCAAGTAGGCTAAACTACAACATGGTGAACATGCTACGGTATTGTTTGGGCCTGTGATTTTAGCCTGTTGTTAGGTGGTTGGTAGGCAACAAAATGACTTATATCCCCCTGAGAATAGGAAAAAAAGAATCTTCCAATTGAACTTGTGATTTCCTGCCTCTTTGGAGCTACAGGAGGCCACCCAAACACATGAGATATCAATGGAAAGCCCAGGATGTCCTCTATTTACACCAGGACGTTGTAAGGTAGCTCAAATAAGTCAAAAGATATAGACCAAAAACAAATGTCAATTACATTAAATTAAGATAATGCTGCTAATGCTATAGATGCATAAATGCTACAAATGGGTTATTGGTTGGTGGTTTAGGGGCCTAAGATGTACCTGTATGCCAAGCTTGGTTGCTCCACTCCTGATGGTGTGGGTGGGGTTTGAGGATAGACAGAGAGAGAGTTTTCGTCTTACAGTAAGATTTGTACATAAAATGTATTTATATACTGTAGCACCTTTCTAAATCAGGATCGCAAAGTGCTTCACAATAGCAGTCAATTCAAATATTAACACAGTAATATTATCTACTAGTCAAAACCAAGCCTATACAAATACATCTTGAGCTGCTGTTTAAAAGTGTGTGCAAGTTGGCATGCTGGTGCTTAGCTAAAAGCACTGTTCTTTAGGGAGTGTAGAAATCAGCAATGGGTCCAAATACAACATTTTACTCTTTTATATAATCCTATATGGTATTCCAGAAAAAAAAATGGTATGAACCCTTGGTTTAAGAATAGGGGTCAGGGTTATGTAAGCAGTACTTACAGGAAGGGTGAAGCTTCAGAAAATTAATTTGTGTGTACTCATGTGTGCGTTTTTCCAGTTATGTGATCAGCACACTGGAGCTGATGGTGGCAGAGGACTACATGATTGTATACCTGAATGGAGCCACACCCCACAGAAGAATGCCTGGACTTGGTTGGCTAAAGAAGTGCTATCAGATGATTGACAGAAGGTCTGTCCTGTTCAGTGGTATCACTGCTATGCGATACTACATTGGTTTTGTGAGAGAAGCCCTGAATGACTAAGAACATTTGCAGCTTTGCAGAATGAAAGTGAAAACTGATGCACCAACATTTACATAATACTTTGGCATGTGATGTTATCCTCAGGCTCAGGAAGAACTTGAAATCCTTCATTATTCTCCATCCATCGTGGTTTATCAGGACCATTCTAGCCATTACCAAGCCATTCATCAGGTAAAGAATACTTCACTTTTAGCTGGCACGCTATCAGTATTTGTTGTGGTCTGGTGGTTGGTCCACTGTCTTGTTCTAAAGATTGCTGCTGGATCTTGACACGTATTAAAACAATTAAGGCTGCTTAAAATTATTACACTGAGACAATTAGCTGCTAATGTGACTCCAGACCTTTTAATATAGTGTAACGGAGTAATGCACATTTATTGCTTTTATCGTGTTTCGGTTATGTAGATCTTTAATTGTGTGTGTGTGCCTATGTAAAAATGGTCATTTTTTGTGCACATGCTTGTGATGCCTCAGCACCAAGTTCAGCAGTAAGATAAAGTATGTAAACAGTCTGGACGAGCTGCAGGAACTCATCCCGATGGACTGCATCCAGATCCCAGAGTGCATCATTAGGTGAGTCCCTTTAAACCTTTAAACACAACACTGCCTCCACCTCCTATGAGCCCAGATGGTCTTTTAAATAAGTCTATTTTCATCTTGTCATTTAAACTCTAACCTCTAGACTCGACAAGCAGCTGAAGGAAGCGGCAGAGAACTCGAGGTAAGCATCGACCCTCCTGCTCGCATTACTTATTCTGCTTTTTTTCTTCTCTCTCTCTTTTTTTTCCATCTACAGTTGAAGCGCTCTCTTATCAGACAACTCACTTTTTAGATCACAGGGATTCTTCTGCTGGATCAGGGCCCAATTGGATTTGGCTATAGTTGCAATTACAGGAGAGAGAAAGAATTTGCTAAAGAGGCTAAATGCATTGCTTTCATCTCATTTATCATTACAGCAAAATAAATGAGCCAGTCCTTAGAGCACAGTGATCTATTGCACTGATAATAAATGTAGAAAAGAAGCAGTAGAATTCCCACACTAATCACCGGCTGACTAACTGTGCTCTGAAGCGTAAGTTGCATGCACCTGCAAATTCAGCGCATGCTCGTGTATTACAACAGTAAATTCTGCTTTAACAACCTTTCAATCCCCACCCTCCCCCGGCCCGATCAAGAGTGAACAGTTTTCTGCAGGGATCCGAGCCAACTGCAGCAAGCAGAACAGAGTAAGTCCTCGAAGATGTTTAAGTTCACACATAGAAGACAAACGGCCTTGTGTCAGCAGTCTGTCACTACTACATAAACACACCCATCTCTAATGTCTCTGCTTTGTACTTTCATCTTCCCAGCAGACCAGACGCAGCTGGTGCCAGCGGCTCGTAAATCCAAACATCCTGAATAGATGGGTCACCTCGATGCTCAGAAGTCACTGTTGTATTGAATGGGCGCATCTGGAAAATTGTGTAGCTATTGTGTGTGCGTCTGTCAGTGTTTTGTCAATTACACACTGGAGTTTAATAAGAGAATACAACTTACAATAGCACCTGATCATGATAAGATCTTTAACGGCTGCTGTAGCACCTGCTGTACCTTACACCTGCAGTCCTGATATACATGTAGTCTTAAGTGTGATTTTTTGTTTTGGGAGCATCAGCAGACTAGTGCCATCGCTCACTTTAGGGTAGGGACTTTAATTACACACTAGACAGCGCACTGCGCAAATCCATTTGTAGGGTCTATAGTGTTGTAGTTGTGTGCATGAGAAGCAGTGAAGCAATAATATCACCCTTTACTGGTTACTCAGTCTCAGTATTTCTGATGAAGAGACTACTTCTGTGTACGCAGTAAAAGCACAGGGTGCCTTGTGCCATGGAAGATGACCAACTGGCTTTTGACCAATCCAAACCTCTTTCTGGAAAATTAACCATAAAACTAGATATTTTACCTTTATAGAGTTAATCTAAGACTAAGAAGAAATAACTTAATTATTATATGAAGCTGTCAGTGCTATGTGACAGCATGTCTTTTTAGTCGTGTTCTGCAAGTGTGTGTGCGTGTCTGTGCACACACATGCATGTGTCTTTCTGTCTATACACGTCGAAACTCATCCTCAGTTTCTGCTTGACGACCAGGAAGAATCTCGGGTGAGAGTAGCGATGGGATCTTTGATAAGCACATCTTTATCTGTGTGTGTCCACACGCATGCGTGTGTGCGTATCTGTGCATCAGTGCATGTCCCCCTCATTAGATAACCAATGGTCCTCTTGCACAGTCTATAATGGTGTACTGAGGGGATGCAAAGAAATTGTTGATCACTGGCTAGTAATTCAATAAAAATAAATCGATTCAAGTCTGAATGTATTTTATCATTTCTTTGTCTTCCAAATTACAAATCAGCCACTTTCAACCTGGTGAAGTCACGAGTTGCTCTTTTTTCCTAATGGATTTGTTTGCAAAACTTTATTTGAACAGAATAATCAGGATAACACATACTCAAATTAAATATCAACAACAATAAGCACATGGGTAAAAGAGAAAAACAAACATAAACAGGGTGATTAATCAAATTTTAAACACCAATCCAACACAATTATACATGGTAATATGATCAATGAAACCATCACAACAAGTAAACTGCCACGATGAAATGTTAAAGATACGCAGAAATCTTCGTGCTACAAACCGGGTGTGGCGAATAAAGCTTAATTTTGTTAATTTTATTTTTAAAAAAAGGAAGTTTGGGAGTGTTAAATACATTTTACTGTTTTTAAATGCAACACATTTCATTGTGTGAATGCAGTTATAAAAACAGAGCTCATTATGAACAGCATCTCATGTTTCATTTGGTCAGGCTCATTCAGTAAAGGATAAATGACTCTGTCCCTCGGGGGAAGGGGGAGACAAACAGCACTGGGGAAGAAACGAAGAAGGAAAGAATTGCAAAAGAAATCTTATGAGATGGAAAGCATCACGTTCACCGGAACGTGTAGCTTTCATCGTCGTACTCCAGCTCGTCCTCGTTGTCCTCTCCCAGCTGTCCGTATCGGAACTTCCTGTACACTGTGCCATCCTGGCCCATGTAAACAATGTCCTCATCTTCATCATCGTCGTCATCATTGTCATCATCCTTATTCCCTGAGCGACGTTCACTGAGGTCGACCAGCTGGGACTCCTGAAATCGTCCGCCAGAGGAGCCGGCTCTGCCGCTGTAAGAAGAAGCAGAGCTGTAGCCGCCTCCGTATCCCCCACCGGAGCCCAGCTTTTCATAGCCACGGGGAGGGATGTCTGAGCGCACGTTTTTCAAGCGGGAATGTCTGATAAGGATGACGACGGTGACCAGAACCAGCACCAGCAGGACGCAGGCTATAATGAAGACTGTCAGGTTACCTCTGGCCTCCTCTTCCTCCTCATTCCTGAATGCCAAGTTGGTGCTGAGAATGCACTCACCTGGAAAGAAAACAGAAGTTTAGACACTGATGCAAAAAGTAACTGTGGTACCTGAACAGGAGCTTTAATGATAATAAAATTGAAAGGGCAGTCAACAGATTTTGTGCAGGCAGTGAAATTTCCTTGGAATGAAAAGTACCATCAATGTCTTTAGTGGCTCTGGAGGGAGCTTTTCAAAATCTGAAACAAAATGTGAAATATGAAAGCTTTTGTAGGTGCTCCTGGTTTCCAAAAGTAAAAAAATGTGATATTCACTGTGAACTTTTCTACAGTTTGAATCAAAGTGAAGCTCTGTTGGTTGGAAACACTGGTGGAAAAAGGTTAACAAGCCCATCAGAAAATACCCTTCTCTGTAAAGAAAAGCCAGCGGAGAAGCTTGTGTTTGTAAAACTTGGTTTCATGGGAAGAAAAAACAATACCAGAGAAAAATATTTGGAGTAAATTATGCCCCACTCTTTTGCTTATAGTTGCAGCAACAAAGGATTGAATTTACTACCAATCTGTCTACATTCATATTTGGAGCTACCTGCCATGCCAGAATTACAGAAAATATAATGTTACTGAAATAACTTCATAAAACTCATAGTCAGAGCTGGTCTACTAAATTATTAGCAGAAAATGCTGTTTCTGTTTCAGCAGCGTTAAAGATAATGGTTCAATTAAATGCAGGTTTTACAGTTAAATCCATAATTTGTTTGGTTTGTTAGGACAATTTTTGCAGTTTTGCCATTGTAATATTAAAAATGAGGCCCATATAGGGCTGGGCGATATATCGAGTTTTTAAAAAATATCGATATATTTTCATATGTGACAATATCGTTTATATCGATATAGTCTATGTTACGTTATAATTATAACTTGTGGAGCCGCAAGTTTGCCTCTCTTTCGTCCACTTTTGCCTCTATGCAACATTACTGGGCCTTGCGTCTCCCCCTCCCCCATCGCTTCACCTGCAGGCAACGACAAGATGGACACGGCAAATCTCCGTTAACGAGTTACCGCGGATCACCCCGTGCGTGGGGCTGGACGGCGTCAACGTGTCTCCAAAATCAACAGTGCGCCTTTTGTATGAATTCTGGTTGTGCTTACTGACCGCGAACCGATTTTATGTGGAACACAGCGCTCAGCAATCTGTCAAGAAATGTTCTAGTTCAACTTTGGTAAGCTACGGAGCTGCACCGCTTGATGGATTGTCGGAGTATTACGGCTACCGTAGTCCGGAGCCTCGCGGAGTGATACGTACTGTGCTTCAACGTAATATTACCGTATTTTGTGTGTATAAGCACCATAAATGGCACCTGTTAAGAGACATGGTTACGAAGCAGATTTCAAACTCCAGGCTGTCAGCCACACAGTATAAGTTGGGAACAGAGCAGCTGTGAAATCTGTCTTTGTTATTATGCTCAGCATCTTTTAGTTTACATTTTGACTGCACAATTGTGAGCTTTTTGTTATGCACAAAAACAACATTGTTTTCTTTTATTTATGGAGCATTATTATTTAATAAATGCTGATAACTTATTTTTCAGTAATTTCTTCACGTACATCTGTGCTGTATGTTAATAAAAGTGCCTGTGTGACATCTGGGACACAGCTTTGACTAAGAACTCTCTTTTTATTCTTACTTTATGGCTTAAAAAAAATATCGAGATATATATCGTATATCGCCATCCAGCTAAAAAATATCGAGATATGAATTTTGGGTCATATCGCCCAGCCCTAGGCCCATGGCAAGTGAACGAGCTCATAATTAAGCTGAAAAACACAAATAAAAAACTACAAGTAGGCAAATCAACAATATTGTGCAATCTTAAAAAGCAGAGATATTGGCCAGCTCCGCAACACCAAATAGCCTGAAATATCACAGACGACAACTAAAGAGATGGTGACAGAGTTATTTCCATGGTTAAGAAAATCATGTTCACAACATCTAAGCTATTTAAGAACACTCTGGGAGTTAGGCATAACAGAGGTTTTACAACAAGGTGGAAACAACTGGTTACACTCAAGAACAAAAAGGCCAGTTTAGACATCTAAAAGAGGCTACAAAATCTGGAGAAACAGCTTATGATCCAAAGCATATGACATTACCTGTCAACGGAAAAATTATGGCATGGGCATGTTTGGCTGCCAGTGGGAACGGGCCACTAGTGTTTATAAGTGATCAGGCAATCAGGATGAATTGTGAAGTGTACAGGGCTGTAGTCTCTGCTTAGATTCAGGCAAGTGTTGGGCAGTGCTTCTCAGCGCAACTAGATAATGAACCAAAGCATACTGCAAAAGCAACCCAAGAGTTTCTCAAAGCAACAAAACGGGATATTCTTCAATGAGAAAAACACTGATCTGATCTCAGCCCAAGCTTTTCAGTTATTAAACACAAAACTGAAATTACAAATAAATATGTCTTTTATTGACCTAATAGTAATATAAGCAGAGGAAAAAACAAGCTCCTCTTACTTAACAACTAAATGAAATAGCAACTCAGCTGCATTATGGGAAAAGTGTCCAACCTTTAACTGATCATTTCAAACCTGAGGATCTGAGGTCGTTATTTTAGGATCTCTCTTTTCTGGGGGACATTTTATAGACCAAGACATCAATCAACTGCTGTAATTTCAAAAAAAATAATTAAAAGATTGATCGCTAATGAAAAATGTAATTAACCACAACCTTTACTCGTCAAGAGATGTGATAAGTTTAATCTAAACATCTTCCCTCCCTACCTGTAAGACTTTATTAGTTTAACTCTTTCCCCCAAGAGGACCGCCTCTGTACCCCCCCAATATATCAATAACAACCATTAAATAGGTTCTGGGTTCTTCCTCAGCAGGCGGTGTAGGAAGAGATCATTCTCACTAACTTCTGATGCACAGTTCCCATTCCCAGTTGTTTTATTCTGGAAGCAGGCATGAAATATGACACAAACTGCTCACATTCTAGCAGACGTGCAAGGGAGGAAAGAGTTAAGGAAGAAAATTACAACCTGAACACAATGATAACTCTCAGCATACAAGATAGAAGTTCAGCCTACCCCGTGTCTCTGTGCAGTTACAACAGTCTTGCTGCTGGGTTTTGGTGTCTTCCTCTTCATCTTCGTGGTGGCAACAAAGTAGACAGCGCCCTCCAGCCTCTAAAATAGCCTGAGCAGAACACACTGTGCAGTTGGACGGACCGGGTCCCCGACACTCCAGGCAGGAACTATCACAGTCTTCACACGAGTGGCTTGAACCCTGATGAAGGACAGGGGTGACTCAGAGCTACAGCATTTTTGCATCATAACTACTGATTCTTTGCTTCCAAAAGTTTTTTTTAAAATGCTGAATAAAAGCGCAACCAGCCTCTCAGCACAGTCAATTAACATTCATCTACCTGTCCAACAATTTCAATCAACAGCTTCACAGCATGAGCTGCGAGGTTTATTTAGAAATTGTGACACAGTAATAATTTTCGCTGTGATGTTTGAGATTTCTCCTGGTGCAGTAATAACCCAGTCTGAATTACATTATGTGATACCTGGGGCCAAAGCATTCAAAGTAATTATTTTGCTGAACGACATGTACTCGTGTTTTTTTAATTTTTTAATGAAAAGTTAATATTTGTGAAATTAAAAATGCCGGTACCTTTATTATGGGATGCTGGCCTTTATCGCATATGGACTCACACCTGCCATATGACAGCAGGTAACCAGGGTAGCAGGAGTCACAGGACTCGGGAAGTTTTCCTGTAGGTACACGACAATGTAAAGGGTTAGCCTGATGATTTTCTGTGTTTTTATTACTGTCAAAAAAATGCTTAAAATGCTGTGTCAAACTTTTAATATCACCAGCCACCTTCTTTAATTTAACTTAAAGTTAAAATGTTTGCATTATTCTTTTATAAACAATTTAATCCAGGTACTCAAGGTTGAAGT